TTTTTGAATTTTGATGGAATTGGGGGTTTTTGGATAATATTTGTAATTAAAAGATACTGGTATTATTTAAAAAGATTTTAGTTTTTGAGTTTTGATGGAATTGGGGGTTTTTGGGATAATATTTGTAATTAAGAGATACTGATATAATTTAAAAAGATATTCTCACAAGTCTATCGGAGTGATTTTCCAAAAATAATGTAATAACATAGAGTAATTCCTTATATACATTGGTTTAAAAACTATTTCTCACATTACCGTCCACGCAAACTCGATTTTAAGGTTCGGTATTTGCAAGTATAAAACCGCTAACATTGTTGGTGGTTTTAACTAATATTGAACCTCTAATGGTATTAGCGGTTCTTTATATAAAACCTCTAATATCATTAGCGGTTCTATATAAAGAAACGCTAATATCATTAGTGATTCTATATAATTTGGTTTTATCGTTAGTGGTATTATATAATCTAGCAGAAGTGAAAGCAAATGGTATTAGAAGTTCTATGCATTATATAAAGAACCGCCAACATTGTCAGCGGTTTTATATAAAGAGCCGCCAACATTGTTAGCGGTTTTATATAAAGAGTCGCCAACATTGTTAGCGGTTTTATACTGCCAAATTCCAAACCTAGGAACCGATCCTACGTGGACGGTATTGTGGGAATAGTTTTTATATAAGAAATTAATTTGTGCTTTAGCATAATTCAGGGAAATCGTTCATTCTATCTACACTAAATAATTTCACAATATTAAGGAAAGAAATATATTTATAAAAATAATGGAAAAATGGACTACAACGAAGTGTATAAAGATAACACCACATCAACAATATTAGAGTAATGAATGATTTCTATATTGAAGTTATTCCCGCAATTATGGTATTTTGAAGAGTAAAATAGGCATTACCACTTTCCAAAATTCTTATATTGTACAAATGTAGTGTCAAGCAGTTGGGATTGAATCTCAGCAAAGAAGGCCAAGGAAAAAAAAATGCAACAGTATACGATAATGATGCACCTTTTCAAATTTTAAGATGACTTTTTAAATTCTTTTACGGCCAACAAGGGCAACTCACTAACTCTCCAATATCTAAAAAGATGACTCAAGATCTACATCAAATACTCCAGAATTTGTTAGGCTAACCACAAATCCACAATATCAATGAAAACTTCCGAGTAAAGTAACACGAAGTATTTTTTATGCTGTGTTTGGGTCCAATTCAGTCATCGCTAATTGGGTAGGTCCAAATGATTTAATTGCAAAAGCCCAATGTAAAGTTCAACTCTCCACAAGTATGCTAAAATCAATCTCAGTCAGCATGGCAAGCCCATCTGACTTCAAGGGCCCAAGCCTCTTCATTGAGCAAAGGTATAAAAGCCATCAATTGTATTATTTTACATTCATTCACAATCAGCCTTAAGCAATTAATTCTCTTGCATAGCGTTTGCTCTCAATACACTGAACTGACTTTAGCATCGGAGGGGCCTTCCTCAGCAACCACTCCCGAGGCTAATTTATGTGTGTCTGCTGTGCAGGAAATCCTCGGCCCAGTCATCACTTGGACCGAGACCAGTCTTATTGTTTTCATCCAAAACAATTTGGCGCCGTCTGTGGGGAAGATACAAAAGATTAAGCCAAAAATCAATCACTCTTAGCAGAAACATGACTAAGAGTAGCAAGAGCACCAAGAGTGCTAAGAAGAATGGTCCCACCTCTTCAAAGAGAGACAGAGACCTGATTACGGGAGGGAACATCAACCGATTTTGCCATCATCGGAACCAGCTTCTTCTTCCTCAAAAGCTCCCCATTCTCTGGAAAGGGAAGCTTCAGGGGACTCTCCATCCCACCATACTCGCCAGCCAACAAGCTCGTCTAGGTCGGGTCGATCAAATGCGAAGAGTCCTCCACTGCAGAGTCTACACTCTCGGTCCCAACCTAAAGAAACCCCCCCTATCGGGGCCCTCTATGGAGGAAGTGGCGAGGGCCTTAGCGGTCTGCATGGAGTTCCTCAAAGCCCAAGGAGGCCAACTCCCATTAACACCCCATGATTCCTCACCTCTTCAGCCGAGACACCTGAGAAAGAGAATCGGCCAAGAGGGGGATAGACAAGCTCCATCCTTCGGGACAAGTGGCAAGAGGATACCCGAAGGATGGAGCTTGTCCATCCCCCTCTTGGCCGATTCTCCTTCTCAGGTGTCTCGGGGGACAAGTGGCAAGAGGATACTTGGAGGACCGAGCGGGAGAGAAAAAAGAATGCTCAGTTCTTTAACAATCCCGAAACCTGGGACTCAGGAGCTTCAGGAGCAGCAATACCACCTCTGCATGGCAAGAGCCTGCTCGCTAAAGCGTCCATGAGCGCTTGGGCTCAAGGGAGGTAGACGTGCGTAGCCGTCTCACCTTCCCAGAGGGAACCAGGCCCTACCCCGAAATGTCTCGGCTAGGGACGAAAACCACTTCCACCTCTCTAAGAGGGAGAAGCGAGGTCCCTTCGGCCAAACAAAAAGGGAAGGTCGTAATGGTCCCTACAAGTTTGCCCTTCCAAAGTTGGATACTGGAAGAGCGTGTGCTGACGATGAAAATACCGGCGCACATAACTTACGACGGAACTTCGGGCACGAAGGATCACATTGCCTCTTACGAGGGGCACATGTATCTTAACCCCAGGTCCGAGGCTACCTGGTGTAAGTATATTCCAACTACTCCGAAAGGTGTTGTACAAGCATGGATCACCAAAGGAGTAAAAGAAGGCTCAATAAGAGGTTAGAAAGATCTTTCAAACAAATTCAAGAGCAAGTTTTCTACGGCAAATCGCCGAGAGAAGACAACTGCAGAGCTGATGAGCCTGCAGCAAGCGGAGGATGAAAGCCTCCGAGACTATCTGGCTCGCTTCAGCAACGAGTCATCCAGAATTACAAGTCTAGATCAGGGCCTTGCAGTATTTGCACTACGGAATGGCTTGCAAGCCGGAAAGTTCCTTGACTTCATGGTCATGCATCCCCCGCAGACCTTAGAGGAAGCTTTGGACGCCTCGAATAAGTTCATCCGAGCCGAAGAATGGAACAAGATAAAATCCCAGTCCCAACCCGGGCCCGGGAAAGTCAAAGGACAACTGACCAAAGGCCAGGCATCGAGGAAAGAGAAGGCAAAGGCCTCAGAATCGTCCTCGGCTGCCGAGCCGAAGAAAGAAAAGATCGCCCCTTACACAGGGTGATACGATTCTTACACTCCTCTCACTCTTCCTTGTGCTTAAATCTATAGCACGACCAAAGATGAGGGGAGATTCAAGAAGCCTAGGCCACTACCACAGTGGCATCAACACAAGGGCAAAGACCAATGGTGTGAGTTCCATGAGTCTTCTAGACATCGCACCGAAGATTGTCTCCAGCTGAAGGACCAGATACTGATATTATTGAGTTTTTGAGTTTTGATGGAATTGGGGGTTTTTGGGATAATATTTGTAATTAAGAGATACTGATATTATTTAAAAAGATATTCTCAAAATTCTATCGGAGTGATTTCCCAAAAATAATGTAATAACATAGAGTAATTCCTTATATACATTGGTTTAAAAACTATTTCCCACAATATTGTCCACACAGGCTCGGTTTTAAGGTTCGGTATTTGCAAGTATAAAACCGCTAACATTGTTGGCGGTTTTAACTAATATTGAACCTCTAATGGTATTAGCGGTTCTTTATATAAAACCTCTAATACCATTAGCGGTTCTATATAAAGAACAATATCATTAATGATTCTATATAATTTGGTTTTATCGTTAGTGGTATTATATAATCTAGCAGAAGTGAAAGCAAATGGTATTAGAGGTTCTATGCATTATATAAAGAACCGCCAACATTGTTATTGGTATTATATAAAGAACCGCCAACATTGTTAGCGGTTTTATATAAAGAACCGCCAACATTGTTAGCAGTTTTATACTAGGAACCGATCCTACGTGGACGGTATTGTGGGAATAGTTTTTAAACAGACTTATATAAGAAATTAATTTGTGTTTTAGCATTATTCAGGGAAATCTCTCATTCTATCTACACTAAAGAATTTCACAATATTAAGGAAAGAAATATATTTATAAAAATAATGAAAAAATGGACTACAGAATAATTATATTGCTTACGAAGTGTATAAGGATAACACTTCATCAACAATGTGAGTGTAATGAATGATTTCTATGTAGAAGTTATTCCCAAAATTATGGTATTTTGAAGAGTAAAATAGGCATTACCACTTTCCAAAATTCTTATACTGTACAAATGTAGTGTCAAGCAGTTGGGATTGAATCTCAGCAAAGAAGGCCAAGGAAAAAAAAATGCAACAGTATACGATAATGATGCACCTTTTCAAATTTTAAGATGACTTTTTAAATTCTTTTACGGCCAACAAGGGCAACTCACTAACTCTCCAAAATCTAAAAAGATGACTCAAGATCTACATCAAATACTCCAGAATTTGTTAGGCTAACCACAAATCCACAATATCAATGAAAACTTCCCAGGTAAAGTAACACGAAGTATTTTTTATGCTGTATGTACAAGCTCTTCGACGGTGTGTACAGCTATGACGCAATACAAGTATGCCATATGAGATTGACTTACTTGACAGAACACGAGTTGCGTTTGCAAGCAGGAGCACATAGCAATTGAGCAGGGGTATAGCCATATAAGTGCTCTTCTAAGCATGGAGAACCTCAATGTAACATCAGCAATTGACATGTGCATGAACAACCTCAACCTCAATCAAGAGCCACAATCTCAAACAGATAAATAATTCCATTAATGTTGGAGCTTTTCCTAATTGTGTATGAATTGTTGAAAAGCTCTAGCAATAAATTCTACGCGTCTTAAAATTCTCATAAAGCTAGAGGTTATATTACATGATGCAGTACTTTTACAATGCAGATTTAAGGATGCTCGAGGAACTCAGTTTACAAAAATGATAACAATTGGTAAAGATTCAGAATTGACCCAAGGATGATCATGAAAACATAACAATCGCTAAAGATAGACTGATTATTGATTTAACAAATGCAGTGGCATTCAATATCCATGATTTCTCTTATTTCACACAGAATTTTTCTAAATCCCTGTTGTTATAATATGTTCATACATATCAATGACTTCAAAAGTAAAACGTCATCAAATATCTTCTTTTCAAGCAAGGGGCATAAAGTTAACAGCTACTATAGATGGAAGTTCAAACAGAAGCACCAGTAGTTACCATACTATGTCGAAGAAGAACAGACATCAGCCACAAGGTAATGCAGCTGTTTTCGCAAGTGCAGTATCTGCAACAAATCAAAAGCGCACAAAATTGCTGAGGTTGCCTTAGAAGAACTTGGAGAAGAACATACTAAATAGCAGGGTCCATAAACAACACAGTAATAACTGAAATATATCAAGTTAAAAGGTTTCTTAACTGTTTAAGGAGATAAGAGGAAAATGACTTTTACAGCACAAATTGCCAAAATGTTACTAAAAATGTCCTAAAACTAAAGCTTCGTCATCACTTATCATATATCAGTAACTAACGTGCACCTTAAAACAAACAAGACATTGACATAAATTTACAAATAGGGGTAGGAAAAGGGGAGGAAGAAGATGGATCAGTGGAGACATAATATTTATTTCAGGTGCAGATTTATATTTGTTTTTGTTTTCCATCCGGCAATGATAGTTCTACCCTTGTACTAGTGGAAAATCTAAAATTATGCAAACAGCCTGAAGGTTTTCTCCTGCTTTCTTAAGCCATTTGACTTTTTATCTATTAACCATAAACTTCAATTACATAACATACTTTCTTCATCATCTTCCATCAGAACATACAACAGAACACTACAGAAGATATGTTTTTTCGACATAGCATTACATATTTACATGTGTTTCAGTGTTTGTGTCATGATAATGCTCCTCCTTAATACTCCCTATAATACCATGTAAACAAGCTTATATATTCAACTTACAATTTTCATTAATTTCGCTTCTAAAATTAAAATCTTATGGGTTTTCCAAGTTCCTCAAGCCCTGTGCCAACTCAATATTCTCTTTTTGCATAAATAAGTCTACACAAGTTCCAGCTACTTTGAAGTTATAAGAGATTAAGAGAATACAAAATACATTTATCTAGTAACATTAACTAACCTCGTGTTGGAGTAAGTCCGGGAGATTGTTGGTGAGCACTATACTACAAAAGTCTTCTCGCAGCTTTGGATTTTTAAGACAATACCATGTATCAGGAGGCAGGGTAAAAATTAATATGGTTAGAGCATCAACCACTGATGGATGGTGCCTATTAGAACAACCAGAATCTCTTTGACAGTACGGGACCAGCATTTCTACTCCACATTCAGAATTTTCCACAATCACTTTGCCAGAAATTACAGTGGAAGAATCAACAATGTCACAGTCTGAGGATCTCAATTCTGCTGTTCTACAGCAAGTTGCATTGCAAGAGCCAACCTTGCCACGGAAAACTTTAGCACCTTGACAGCACACTTCGGAAGCAATTTTGTCTATAGAATTATGACCATCCAAATTTGGATTGCACATGAAATCTGCTCCAGATGAAAGCCATATTATCATGTGTTTAAAAAGTTCTGTTTCTTGTACTTGTTTCAAAACCTCTTCCTGAAACCAATAAAAATCATAGAGGAAAATTGAAAGACAATGAACAATGAAAGAGAGTGAAAAAGGGCAAAGGTTAAAGAAAAAGTCCTACCTTGATGCTCAACCTTCCCCGTTCCTCTTCACTAACAAAATTACTCTCACCTTCCTGTATTCGAACTTCAGCAACCCAATTTATGATATAACTCAGATTTGCAGGAGCTGATGAAAATATAACAGATAGTATATCTTGAATGTTATTGATTTCTTTAGAAGATACAAGCTGTGGAACCTCTTTAGTTAAGTACATAGCCGTAGTGTCCCAGCCATCATAACGACAACTCTGCCAAAAATCTAGATGTTTAGCTCCTCTAATGCTACGATAGACCAGCAGAACACCAATTTATAAAATTTATGATAGTTTGCCACATCATTAAAACCACAAAAAATAAAATAAATATATAAAAAATAAAATAATTAAATGAAATTAAAAAAAATGACAAAACATGTTTCTGCTCAATTTGATCAGTTTTCACACAAAATAATTACACTTGTTTGTGATGGAAACAATGAATTAGGTCATAATCTGTTCTCCTTTTTTCCACTTCTTTCAAGAAATATAAGCTAGAGTTAGAGAAAAATAAGTTCAGTTAAGTACAGGAAAAATAAGGACTGCCCAAATTCAATTTAAAACTAAAGTTCAAGTATATGAAAAACAGGTGGATTAAATGCACCCTTAAAGCTCATATTGAAACAATTACATGTAATTTTTACAAAGTTCATTTATTATATTGTATATATGCAAGGAAAGTACTCCGTATTATAAGTTTTATGAAACAAAAATGGGATGTAAAGGATTTATAAAAAAAAATATACCAGAGTATACAGAATTGATGATGCTCTCTGAGGCCTTGATAGAAGCATGAATCTGACAACAGTGTAGGCTAGAATTTTAAAACTGCCAAAGTGTTAAATCAATCAAAATTTAATCAAAACTTCAACAATGGTGACATAACTAAATATGAAGTAGAGATCCTCTTCCTTTACTAGGTACTCCTATTCTCTAATTCTAATAATTTTCCTTTCTATTCAGTTCGTTTTTTGGCTTGTGACTTGCGTTGAGGGGCCAATGAGGATATTGGGAAGGGTAAAGTGTGAAGATAGAGAAAGGTACCAGCACATAGAGGTGAATTACCTACATATAGGAAAATGGGGAATAAATCCCCGAGACTGTTGAAACTATATACTTATGATTCATTCTCCCCTGCTCCTTATATATGTTTCTGCATTAAGACTTACACCATACATGCAATTAGAACAAGCAGGTTATACAACAAATAAATGGTTGATATTCATTATTAATGAATGAGTCAGCAGGATCAAAGACTATAGGCATGACAATATGACTGCTGAATCTTGCTATTGATCGAACAATAAGCAAGCTGAAAACTAAGTACCTCTTCCAAGAAGACTGCATATGAGAAGCAATGCAATTTCATGGCTTACTATGAATTAATTGTTCAATGAAGAACTAGCATTTCAAAATACAAGTATCAGACCTACAGCCAACTCATTGCTTGGATGAACATTGGATTTGTGAAGCCTTTAATGACATTCAATCAGAAAAAGATGGCTTCTTACAGAAAGAGCCCACTGATATAGAGATCAGTGAAGAATATCAAAGAACATTGCCCCCACATATAAGCAAGAAACTAGTTATAGAACTTATGTGTTCACACTTCACATACCCCCTATAAAGTCCAGTAGCTTCATCAACTGTGTTCATAGCATCCCATAAAAGTGCGAGGGGCACCCAATGAGGAGGGTACTTGAATCGAGCAACATCTAAAATAAGAACCATATCATTTCCAGCATGGTAACCACCAATTGGAGAAAAATGACCACTTCCTGTCTGCCAAACAAAAGTAAGAAATGCCATTCTTTTACCAAGTTCAGCATGACATCACAAGTAAACTATACAAAGATGGCCAAACATGTGACAGTGGATTTCCTCCTCAAAATTCAAAACTCTACTAGTACAGGAAGTGATCTGCTTGGTTACGATCCCAATAACCCAAACAGTTTGAAAAACTTTCCATTCGGTGAACTGGAGAGTGTAAACAATAGTGATACACAAGGTCAGATGTACACTTGGTGTACATTCGATATTCCCTTTCTCATTATTCTATTTATACACCAGAATACAATTATCTGGCAGGGAAGCACATACTATTTCAAGGTGACATTCAAAACAGCACAAGTTCAGAAATAATTGCTTCAGTTAACTAATTTAGCATTGCTTAGGGAATCTAAAATTACATGAAGTACATTTTAATTTCATTTTACTTATTTTTTTCAGCCATCTCAAAGGGGGTCCAAATGTAGCATTTTCTTCAATTGTTAGATAAAACTAGAGAATATTGACCAGTAACACATTCAGCGCAGCACAAAGTACAAACACTAATTATAATACTTTTAGGATAAAGCCAGAATTTTGACGATTTTATACAAGAGGGTGCTTATGATTATGCTGCAGTATTCTATGGGAAATGTCAATAAACAAAGACTTGCAATTTTTGATAGGTCAGTTAATTCGGAAAGCTACGCTGCTACTACAGTTAATTGAACTTATTATACCTTACAAGATTGTATCTGACAACCAAATTTGACAAATAAGCTTTAATCATTAGCTACATGTGTTTCAAGGTTTTAATCAAGACAGTAAGGAGTGACTATTAAATACCTGTTTCAGATATGCTCTGTGGTAAGAGACGATCATGTGAAAATTTTCAGAAGAAGAACTAGAAATCACATAGCTCCGGAAGTTGTCCATTGCACTATCATTTGTGTGAAATGCTTCTACTTCTGCTCCATTACAATGAGCCAGGCATGCAACTTTGCTAAAAGTGGTACCATTAGCCATAATTTTCTCCACAGGCTCACAACAATTTAACATAGAATCATCAAACCATCTCCATGGACCTAAGAACATATAACTATCATGGACCCCTCTCATTTTGCTAATCAATAATCCTAGGTTCTGATAATCAAAAATATTTGCTAATGATCCTGTTGTATCTCAGATTCTCAGAATCTGATAATCAAAAATATTTTCTCTTAATCCCTAAGCTATTTGCTGTAGTATACTCAATAAAGACAAAAATGAGAGGGGAAAAAAATAGCCAAAACTTAACTTATACAGGTATATGAGGAATTTCATGTAGAGGTAGCCAACATTTCTACAGTTTCACAAGCTCTTGCCAATCAATGCAGTGAAAGAACTATTATTGACATGAATGATGGCATCGATGATAAACACCACAAACTCAAACACCGCCCACTGTGAGAGGCCATGAGCTATTTTCCAGGACAATCTTCAGCACCATGAAGGTTTATGGATATCAAATTTATGATTGATATCTAATTTTACCGTTAAATGATCAACCAGTAAGGAGTTTTATACGTTGTATGAATTATTATACACATTGTACAGTTGGAAAGAGCATGGGCAAGTTCGCTGTGTTTACAATAATTTATTCTAGAGCTTTGCAAGCTGTATATCAATTTTTTTTTTTACACATCAAGAGTTCGATAAATGAAAGTTCTGACGAAATTTTAGGACATGCTATAATGAAATTTAGCTTACATGTTCAGCTCCTTCTAGTCTGGCAAATATTTGTCACATAGCTATATAGTAATAGGAAACGGTGAAATAGATGAAACTCTAATAGGTCTATCATGGTTGGAAGGTAGGCAAGTACTGGTTATTAATGTCATCTTTGAAGAGCTAATGGATAGCATGACATTTTTTCAGATGTCTACACCCAAATTGAATTGTACAAAGGACCGCGAGTAGTAACAATATGAACCAACTAGGTTCATCTTATTCACCTTTCCAAATTCTCATAAATTGTGAGTTAAAGATCAAGACCCTCAATCATTTGTTATTGTTCAAACCTTAGCCAAATTTAGCATGTAACCCAGCTAACTAATTGCCCATAATTATAAGCTAGTTTTTGGGCTCCCATTAAATATTTATGATATATTGATATACAAAGTTATACCACAACTAGGAAACTATCCTAGAGACTGTTAAAGGACCAACTCAACCAAAAGCTTAAGCTGATGGTTGAGGCCCAATAATATGTTTCATACTTTATCACGCCCCTTCACATGAGAGCCCTTTAGGCTTGAAATGTGGATGCAGCATGGGCCCCGCATACCTTGCGCGAAATATTCCGCTTAAAAGTCGGGGTGGATGAGATTTGAACCCGTGACTTTTGTGTCACGCTTGCTCTGATACCATGTTAAAAGACCAACTCAACCAAAAGGTCGATGGAATATGTTTTATACTCTATCAATTACAAAGAGTATTCACAAAATTAATCTTAGTCAATGACAACTAGTTTAGTTGCTTAAACGTCTTAGGGAGATATCCATGACCCAAAATCAAATCTCCTGACATTGAACAAATTGTGTTTTCTTTCGATTCTCCTTGCGCAATCACAATTGACCCAAAGTTTCATAAATGATGGAGAAATTAATTGTGAAAAAAAAAAGTGATCATTTACATAATTTCAGAGTCATTCATTCAAAAGTCAAAACAAATTCCACAAATAATAATAAAAATTAACGAGAAATTGTATAGAGGAGAGAGAATTTAACCTTGCCTTCCGAAGAAGCAAATTCAACTGCAGGTGGCGAAGGAAGCGTTCTTCTGTAAAATCCAGCCACTGCCGCCATTAATTATCGATTTTTGATCAGCAATTGCAGTCCTCTCTATTGGTTTCTAACTGAATTGAATTAGAAACTTGAAATTTGAAACAACTTTGAATTTAGGGTTTTTAAAATTGGGGGATTTGATCAGCTCAATGTTCACTGTAAAATGGCGGGTAATTGTTGACTTTTGTTTTTTGTTTTTTTTTTTAAAGTTTCAATATTTGTGACTGATTATCTAAAATTTACCAAGTTGGTCGGTCAATTCATATAAGTTGCCCTTGGGAATGATCAAATCAGATCAGACGAGAATTGGGCACTAAACTAAACTTTGCTTGTAAGAGCATCTTCAATGTCCTTTTCTCTCTTCTAATCTCCTTTTTCGACATTAATTTTCACTAACTTTACCCTCACTTGCTATCCTCGACAATTACATTTTAGATTTCCCATGATTTTTTTTTTTTCTTAAAGATAAGATGAAGGACCTTACTGAATCAGCATATCACGTAGGGGGAAGGTAAGGGAACCCCAAGCATCTTGTAGTTAGTGGGGCTCGAACTCGTGACCTCAAAGTCACAAGGTGAGTTCCCTTGGCACCTAAGATTGTCATAACACTATATCTTTCAATCAGAGAATATCAATTGTGGAACGCGCCCCACGCGCGAGTGAAAGAAAACCAAAACCAGCCCTTGTTTCAAGCCCCTAGTTTTTATCAAAACCAGAACCTCGCTCTTCCGATCGTAGCTAGTCAGGCCGCCGGCGATCGGAGTGAGTCGGCCTTCCTTTTCGGTTGCCGGCGTGCTATCCCCCCTGTCAAAACTCCGACCAGTCGCGATCCTTGTTCCCCCAATCTTGCAAGCGATTCTTGCGATGATAGTGTTCTGGCTATCCGATCTCTTGCAGCATTTGTTGTCCCCGCCTCCTCTTGCCGTGATCAGTCGGACTCCACCGATCAGGTCGATTAAGGTCGTATCGAGGTTCTTCTTCGCTGGTTCATCTCGTTTTCGCAGACGTGCTTTTTTGTGGTGGTATTTTGATCGCCACCTTGTCTGCGAGCCTCCCCTCAACGGCTTTGCGGGTGCCGGTGCTTCTTAGCCGATTCTGGGATCTCTATTATAACCCTTACCATAACAAGCAGATTTCATCTTCTTTTTATAGTTTCCACCAACCTCCATTTATGGCATTTGTTTTTGATACCTTAGTTTTCTAGTTGTTGGCTTTTGTTTTTTTTATCCTTTTTAATAAAAGGCTCTTTAGTGTGTAACTTCATTTGTGAAGTTATTTGTCATTTTCCTTTCCTTTTCAATATTTTGAGTATGATTTGCCGCAAATTAATGAGTGCCCTTATGCACACTCACTTGACGATGATTTTGACGAAAGCATTGTCAACTTTGCCAATAGTAATTGTCCACGGAACATTCTCAATCAAGCAAAAGACTTTAAGGAGGAGGGCAATACTTACTTCAAAAAAGGTGAAGTTGTTTTGGCTGGGGCTAAGTATCACAGAGGACTGAAACTTCTGCGTTTTTGTCTCCCAAGAAATGAAGATGATTGTGTTTTTCTATGGAACCTTGCCATATCCTTTGAGTTAAACCTTGCAGCTTGCGCCCTAAAAGTATGTAATTTCGAACAAACTAAGGAGCTCTGCTCATTAGTCATTATGTTTGATGGTAACAATACTAAAGCCCTTTACATAAGGGCTTTAGCTGAAATCAAACTTTATCAACTCGAAGAGGCCAATGAAGATCTTGGCAAAGCAACTAAGATTGAGCCTAAAAATCACGACATCCTTCGCGAGATGGAGAAGGTGGAGGGGTTGAGAAGTAAAGCTAGCAAGATTAAGGGAAAGAGGGGCACTGAGGATTCCGACTTGCCCCACACCATCTTCAACAAAAAGGGGAAGATCAACAGCCCCTCGGTCAGTCTAGACTATATCGGGTTGCCTAGTAGCGATGCTCAGAGTGATATTACGGCTTACCCATCATGGACCCTGCAGATGAGTTGATGGTAGAGAGCCTAATCACTACATCCAATGTTCTTAGCCCTCTGGAAAAGAGGGAAGATGATGCTACTAGCTCCCCAAACAACCAGGATTCTAGACATGCTAAGGACAAGGGACCGAGAAAATCTCATATGTTCCTCAATGGATCGAGAAGTAATCAGTCCCTTAAGATTTCCGATTTGTCTTATTCAAATCTCTGTCAAGGGAAAACCTTGAGTTTCTTCAAACATTCTGTTGTATCTTGGATGATTGTACGAGTGAAGGAAAAGACCACCTATGATGGGCATTTTAAATCCCATAAGGCAAAGGAATCTAAAGTTCCCGAAACCTTACTCGCGCCCACTAGGATGGTAGTCTAAAAAGAGGTGTTGCCGCAAAAAGGGCCAAAAGAAAAAGGCCAAGCGATCCCTGGACTCCGGCACGGTCAACCACGTTGTTGGACTTCCTAAGCCCAACATCGCTGCCGTTGAGAAGTTACATGATCATATACCTACTAGCCTAACTTCTAGCAACATTGAGGGTTCGAATATCGAAGAGGGGAACGAGTTACCTGCGAGAGATTTAACTACCACTAACATCGATGAAGTGGAATCCGTAGGTTCTAATGACGAAGACCCCATGACTGTTGAACCCGACCATGTGCAGTCCTCTCCACTACTCACTACCTTCATGTTCTCTGCCACGTTAAGATAATATGGAAGGCCATTCAGGTCAAGGGTGAAGAACAAGAAAGGTAAAAGGTATTCTAGTCGTTGTTTTTGCAAGATCAAGAAACACAAGGGAACAAGCTTGGAGCAGCTTAGGGCTAGCTCTGGAGATGAATATCCCCAACCCCCTTATTTGCATTGCAAAGCAATTCATAGTGTCTGTAACCCCAATCCCCTTTTTAGTTCTTGTTTTAGTTTGGTAAGATGGTTTAAATTTTCTCGCTGTAGTCTTGAGTCAGTTGGGAGCTAGCCTCCTTTTTGGACCGTTGTAAAAAAAAAACAAACAACTATATCTTCTATTTTATACACCACCATATTTTCTTTCTCCCTACAAAACAGTAAAATTATTACGAAGTACTACTTAGGCTCGCCTTGTGAAATTAATGTGATAATAATTCACTATAAATTGTAAATACAAAATAAGCATCTTCAATGCAACAATCAGCTGATAAAGGCGTTAATAATGTGCAGAAAACATTGAAGTGAGGTTGAGACAGTGGAGTAGTGATATTGTTCCCTACCTCACAACCATACTATCTAGAGATCACCTCTTAATTGCTCAATAAAATATGACAAAGCACTAGAGAAGTGATTGTAAAAAATAAAATAAAATAAAATAAAAAAATAAAAAAAAAAGCCACTAAAGAAGTGTACACAACAAACAACTCAACACGCAACCAAGTTACAATTCTCATTATTAGCATCCTTATGGGTTTTTACTTTTATTATTATTAGTAGCCATTTTTTTTCCAACGAATTGTCATTAGTTGCCCTAAACTTATGAAATTTGTAAAACGTGACATTTATTATGCTTTTGGTTAAATATAATTATTTTTAAATCAAGGTTAACATTTAAGACGAAGGGCATGTAAGACGGAGATCCGAGGGCGCATCGGTACGAACAGTGGAAGAATGGGACCATGGAGGGGTTAAACGAAGGAGAGGGAGACCGAAAATAACTTGGTTGGAAGGAGTTAGGAAGGATATGAACTGTATGAATTTGCATGAGGTAGAGGCATCGGATAGTAAGGGATGGAGGAGGAAGATTTTTATCGATGACTACGCGAAATAATTACTTTTGTTCATGCAGCTGACCACATTTATAGGACTAAAGCTCTGATTGATTGATTAGATGGATTGATTGAATGTTAACATTTCAATTTTTAGAAAAAATATATTAAAAAAAAAAGTATCAGGCAACTATCCTTTTTGGATTTAGATTTTTTTTTTAAGAGAAAAGATATCAAATCAAAATATGCAAAAAAATTTCTTTCGAAAAAAGTATATCTATATCGGGCTTATTACATTGAGGAGAAAAAGATGAACATTGGTATATTAATTAACAAAAAAAAAACAAAAAAAAAAAATTAAAACGGTCCAAAGAGCCTTTGGAAAAAATTATTACTCCCTTTGTTTTGGAATGGTTAACACGCTTTAACTTTTTATCATTATTTACTATAAAATAAGATTGAGGTCGTGTTCTCTTCACTTATTCACGAACTTTCTTTGACTAATAAGATTGAGGTCGTGTTCTCTTCACTTATTCACGAACTTTCTTTGACTGCATATTGTGATTTATACGTAAAGAAAATATATATTCAAGTGGGATCTTATTAGATTCGTCTTAATTTATACTTTATAAATATGAATTGTTTATATTTATTACATAATGAGAATTACACATGCATTTAATAGTCGAAGTTGTACGTTGGAAAGTTTAAAAGTCTCTGGAACGAAGAAATTGAGAAGTGAGGAAGTATAAATTTTATTAATCTATATCTATACTAATCTATTAAAAAGCGTTCCTAAGAAAGTACATGTGCCACGTGGCACCTTTCTCCAATAATAGAACTATTCCACATCAACTACAAGCAACATTTTTACGTGCTACGTGGCAATATGCCACATCATCCACAATCAACATTTTTATGCGCCACGTGGCACCTTCCTCAAATACTAGAAACATGCCACATAATCCACTATTAACATATTTTAATGCGAATAAAGATGATCTGGAGAGTGTTTGAACTCATGACCAACAATAATTAAGTTGAAAGTCTAACCATCTTAGCCAACTTTTAGTTATACTTTCATGTAACGCTTTTAATTATATATCTAACTTTGATTGCGGTGTTTATTTTATATATTTTGTTCCATTAATTCTTATATTGTTTAATATATATTGTGCACTATGTACATAGAAACTTAAATATTGAAATATGATAGTTATAGTAATAATCGGAGTATCGCTCGGGCCACACACTAGTTATCATTTGAAAATAGGGCTAATGTGAGAATAACAAACCACAAATGCTTCACTCTCAAAGTGTCACATCAGCAGTCGCGTCATACCATATAAAAAAAGCTATGTTTATTTCCGAGTACAATTTTAGTAACATACCAATCAGCAAGAATCAAATAAAAATTATCTTCAATCAAGCAACAAGATATTTTAACAAGATTTCAATAATATAAGAAATTTTCAATATTTTTCCTTATGCAAATTGGTACATTTCGTGCATTGACAAATGACACAGATATAATCTATAAGTAGTATTTAAGGCCAAATTAGTACATTGGCAAGTCAAATTTGACTACATCAATTATGCTAGAATGGAGGTAGCAAAAAATGAGGCAATAAACAAACCACTTGTCAGCAAATGATTGGACAGAAAATAAAAGGAAAAAAAATATATGTTATTTGGGGGGCTTTTGTTCTGGAAGGGTGCCCCATAAATCCATAATCTCAACCTCCCCCATCATTGGAAGAGTCATTGGGTATGCTCTGAGTAACTGCAACTATTTTACAAATATGTATGGATTACTATTATTTTCATATCAGTTGTCATTATGAATTTGCGTTTGCTCTTATGAATTATGAATATAAATAAATTGTCCACAAAAAGTTCTTATTACAAAATTGTTGCAAAAGCATATCCAAGAAGCATTTAAAGTCAAGATATCCTTTGATGGTTTGTTAAATCATTTAGATGTATCACTATTTACTATACTAGTTGACCTCCCCAAACTACATTATGGCACTTCGTAAATCAATAACGATTACATGTTATGGTTGTAATTTGTAAATCAATAACGATTACATGTTAGAAAGAAAATTAGGAAATAGTCGGTTTTCCATAGTTATTTTAGAATAATTAAAAAGACATTAAAAAGATCAAATGGAGAAAAACGAATGATCGAGGACCAAGGCTTAGGTGCTCCCGTTTAATGAACAACTTCATACTTTACTTCAATATTTGTAGTTGTTTAGAGAAAAACCTCAATTTATTGCGAGGAATCGAAAAGAAAATCAGATGGAAATATCCATCTACACTCTACAGCTACACCAATTTCAAACCTCAAATTTATTGTGAGGTTTTGACAGGACAGTCAGATGGGCATTACAGTATTACACCAGCAACTTCAATACATTTTGGAGCAAATGAGTATCTGTATGACTGTATACAAAGAGTATGCTTCTTGATGTAACAATATGCCGTGGCTTCTGATTCTCATCATGTCTCGTACTTCACACAAAACTTACCCAGGTGCTTCTCCATGCAATTCATTGTGCAGCGATATCAGTATCTCCAAAAGCAAACTTCATCAACTCTCAGTTTCTATCATGCTAATTGCCGAGTTAGATGCCAATTTCATAAAGAAAAAGAATCACCAAAACTCATCATATCACGTCGCAGAACAGCAGACATCAGTCACAAGGAAATACAGTTGCTTTCGCAAATGCAGTATCTGCAACAAATCACAACCACATAAAAATTTTGAGACTGCTTAAAAATGAATCTGAAACCTTTAGAAATCAGAAGTTCCAATTACTGAAAAATTTTAAAGGAAAATATAAACCATCTATCTTGCAAGATTGTAGTTACCTCCTGTTGGAGTAAGTCGGGGAGATTTTTGGGGGAAATTATATCACAAAATTCTTGTAGCAGCTTTGCATCTTTAAGACAAGACCATGTATCAGGAGGAAGGGCCAATAGCAGTACAGTAAGACCATCAACCACCGATGGATGTTCCCTGTCAGAAGAATTAGAACCACACTCACACGGATTTCCAGGGTTCTTTCGGCAGCTTGGAACCAGCATTTCTGCTCCGCACTCTGAATCTTCCAAAATAACGTTGGCAGATACTACCGTGACAGACTTAGCATTGTCACAGTCTGAGGATCTAAATTGTGTTGTTTTAGAGCTAATTGCATTGCAAGAGCCAACCTTGCCGCACAACAATTGAGCACCTTGACAACACACTTCAGAAGCAATTTTTTCTAATGAATCTGTACCATCCAGAATAGCATTGGGCATGCAAGATGATCCAGATAGAAACCATCTGGTTAGGTGTTTGAAGAGTTCAGTCTCTCGCACTTGCTTCAACACCTCTTCCTGGAACCAAAATATATATTCAAAAATTAAGGAAGAATAATGTATTGGAAAAGCACAAAACTACAAAGGAGTGAGCAAGGGCAAAGGTAAGATAAAATGTCCAACCTTGGTAACCAACCTCCCCTGTTCCTCTTCACTCACAAGATTACTCCCATTCTCCTGTTTTCGAACTTCAGCAACCCAATTGATGAAATTACTCAGATCTGCTGGAGCTGATGACACAATAACAGATAGTATATCCTGAATATTGTGAATTTCTTCAGAAGATAGGAGTTGTTGAAGTTTTTTACTCAAGTACTTGGCAATAGTGTCCCAGCCATCATGACGGCAACTCTGCAATAAATTGCTATGTTCAGCTCCTTCAATGCTACAATAGGCCAGCAGAGCACCAAAAACACAATAGACTAAAGTCACAGCATGAAGGATAACAATGACTTCAGACTGTTAGAGAAGCTATGATGATTTTCAATATACTATATTCATTGGCTTAAGCCTGAGCAGAAAAATTAAACAATTATACCTTGTGTGAATGCGTGATGGACAGTGAATTATAGATATTGAGCTAACTACACAAATTTTGCACAATATTCATCATTGTATTTTAACACAGAAAAGTTGTGAGAGATTCATGAAATTTTAAGGGAGATAGAGACGAGAAAAAATTAAAAAAATTACCAGAGTATAAAGGATTGATGATGCTGCCTGAACCCTCGTTAGAAGCATAAACCTGAAACAATAATCTAATATTCATAAGGTTTTGAGCCTTTGAAATCAAGCTGAATTAATTAAATTTCAAAAGTGATAAACATTGAAGATATCCACTCTTTTTGCTTATACTTGGCTTGGATTAGGGACAGTGGGTGGGTGGTTGATAAGGCAGAGTTTGAGGGATAAAACATGGCACTAGCACTAATATGGGAAGAAAAGGGAATGAAAACCCCCAAAGACTTGAGTATTAAAAGGGTGATCTAATTATATTAAACAAACTTCATACATCCAGTTAGAAACATCCATCCATAGATAATGAACATGAGTATGAAAGCTAAATCCTTGCTATTGACCAAACGAGAAGCATTCCTAAAATGAAATATATATCCTCTTATAAAGGACATTGTGTAGGAGCAGTAATGAGCTAATGACCCGCTTTTTTGTTTCAAGTAGAATCAAGACTCTGAGAACATAAGCATAAGCCTATGTCAACTCATCAGTTGGATGAGGATTGGATTTGTGAAAAAATTAGCTAGCAATAGACAATCACAACAAGAGGACTACTTACAGAGACAGCCCACTGATATAGTATTTGAATAAATAATAGTAAACAACGCTGATGTAAGTATCATATATAAGAGAAATAAAAATAGTGAATTGAGGAAGAATAGTATTTAAGAGAGTACATAATTGGTTGCAATAAATTATCAAATTGGCATAATATCCCAGATCTTCAACTAGCTGGCGACTACCTGTTCTGATTATTTTTTCTCTCACCAATCCCTCTATATGTAGATACCCTGCATTTAAGCTAATAAAAACCTTACAGAACAGGCATTGCACATACTGACATACCCCCTGTAAAATCCTGTATCTTTATCAACCGTGTTCATGGCATCCCATAGAAGTGTGAGGGGTACCCAGTGAGGAGGATACTTGAATCGAGCAACATCCAAAATAAGAACCATATCCTTTCCAGCATGGTAACCACCAATTGGAGAAAAATGACCACCTCCTGTCTGCAAAAGAAAAGTAAGAATAGTTAATTTTTTCAACAGGTTCAGATGAAATCGCAATTAAACTGTACAAAGATGGCCAAACATTTAGTACTGAATATTCTTAGTTTTCTTACTCCAGGCACAAACCTACCTTAGCAACAATGTGATCTATCATAACTCCAATACCCTACTTGACTCAACAAATGATGTTTCAAAAAATATATTATGCACACAAGAAATTTGGAACATACAAAAGATATTTCATCACACAATTATAGAGTATCAGCAATGACTCAAACATGCTCTTGGGTACATAAAATCAGTAATAAATAAATAAATTTTTAAAAAAAAAATAAAAAAAACCTTTAATAGAAAGTGGGTAAATAAAATTTATAGACATATACAATAAAAAAATAAATAAATAAATAAAAAAGAAGAGAGAGAGAGAGAGAGAGAATAACGTTTATCTCATGAGTAATGTCAACTACATTTGCATCAAAATGTGTAATAGAGACAGTACGAATTGAGTACCTGCTTCAGAAATGATCTGTGGTATGAGACGATCATGTGACAATTTTCTGAGGAAGTACATGAGATTACATAGTTTCGGAAGTTGTCCTGGGTACTTTCATTTGTATGATATGTGTCAACTTCTGCTCCATTACAATGAGCCAAGCATGCAACTTTGTTAAATGAGATGCCGCTGACCTTAACCTTCTCAAGGGGCTCACAACAGTCCAACATAGAATCATCAAACCATCTCCACGGACCTATTAATAGTTTAATATGTACCCACATGATTTGGTTTATAGTAATTATACAAAGCAAGATATATGTACTGAGAATTCCTTTTAAAGTTGCACCTATCATCTTATAAACTTCAGTAAGTTATCTGATATGACAAGATCATCAACAAATAGTTACAAAAAATGTGAAGTGGAAAGAAAATTTCACAAAGCATCAATGCATAACCACTGACATAACAGCAGTATCATGTCATATTTCTTCGAAGTGATAAAGCTTGCTAATAGACCAATAGTATGCTTTGCTTTGTGGGTTACAGTCCAAAAATCCTTGTGAAACGGGAAAAAAATATGAAACAGAACCAGTGAGCATAAGTCACTTTCAAATCCCCTTAGCATCACTGGTAGTAAATTGATCATGTCAAAGGTCAAGAGTCTTGAGCAAATAAGCACCAAGTAACTAAATTTCTTTCAATGGAATGTATTTAAGTAGTTAAAGGAGAAAGAACATTAAACAACATTTAAGCATTTGATTTTCTTAATTTCAGTTCTGGAATACAAAGGTCACCTTTCCACTTCCTTTCAGGGTCAATTGCAAGGGCATTTAAGACCACAGCAAGGGTAGCCAACCCACAGTATGCAGGTTCGGATTGAGTTTTGTAATATGACACCAACTTGAAAAAACCTTCCATATTTCCTTCCAGGAGAGCTTCAGAAAAGAGTTGCTGCAAATTTGAACAACTGATGAAAGACATACCAAAATTTCTTATAAAAGCAGCATGAAAAATTCCAAGTCAAGACAACTTACCCATCAGTGCAATGACAAGGCTATAATTACAGTCAGTGCAATACATCAGACTCATACACCATCCCACAGTTTCTGATGTATGCTAAATTCACAATTCTCTTGAAAAATATTAACCAGCTTTGAACCAGATGATAAACTACTTCATCAGTAGTTCAGCTTAAGTTTCTCTAGTACAATCTAATTACTCCCTCCATTCGCAAATGGGTCACGTAGGTAATTGTACATTTGTTAAGGCTATCATAACATTGCTCAAGAAGCTATAAAGCCCGTTATTATCTGTACTTTTAGGCACTCATAGCATTAGGTAAAATTGGCTTTCCAAAGTGATGCAACATTATTTGTGAATGCTAGATGATGTAGTCAAAACTACCAAGATTGGAAGGATGAATGTGCGAGCACTAAGAGAGGAAGTAAACATGACTTAAAGTCGGAGCAAATGCTTTCTCCTAACCTGGATGCCTTGTGACTCAATTGCAAAAGTCGAGTATGCTTCCTCCACCCACTATTCATTCATCTTCATCTTCTACTCCCATTTATTGTTCTTAAATCACCATCAACAATGTCCAACCATAATCAGTGGCGGATTCAGGATTTCTGAGATAGTGTGTCACCATCAAATCATTTGTGAAAGTACAATTTTTTTTTTCCATGTCTTGTTCATAATTAATTTCAATCCAAAACTTATATATATAAACTTATATATATAAATAACTGGTCTCTTTAATGAAAAAGAAAGTAACGCAAAAAAATTGTGAAATGCAATAGCAGCATCAAAGAGACCTCTTATATAAATAACAGGTCTCTTTAATATATAAAAAAAACACACCAAGTCTTTTGAAGCAATAGCAGCATCAAAGAGATCTCCTATCTTAATAAGCGGTCTCTTTAATATTGTTTGTTGTTACCACTAGCAGCATCAAAGAGACCCCCTATCTATAATAAGGGGTCTCTTTGATATTTTATTTTTTAAAAAAAATACTGTGTCACCGAACCCACTATGACTAAAGGTGGGTCCGCCCCTGACCATAATGTGTCTAATGTTAATCGCATGTCTAAAGATAATGTATGTTGTGATATGCGTGGTGCATGTGATCATCCCCTTCTCAATGCTAATTGTTTAAAAACGTCCCTCTCAAATCCATGGAAAAAGTAAGGCCCTGTTTGGTTGGGCTGAAAACTTTTCCAGGAAAAGTGTTTTTCTTATTTTACATTGTTTGGTTTGGGCGGGATATGAAAAGGAAAATGAGAGCTGAAAAACTATTTTCCTTTATACTAGAAAACGTTTTCCCCAAAATTAGAAGGAAAGCCGTGTTTTCCACTCTTCTTCCATCTTTCCCCTTCTCCTTACGCTGCATTGTTGCAAACTCAGGTACTTCCTCACTCGATCTCTTGCTGCAAATTGGTAATCTCTCTCTTCTTGACTTGATTATTAATCTAGGGTTTAATTTGATTTAAAATTCGATTATTTTAGGGTATATTGTGTACATATTTTGATTATTTTAGGGTATTTTTGCATAAAATTTGTTAATTCAATTCGAAATTGCTTTTCTGATGTGATTAAATTTTCTAAAGATTATTATAATTTGGGAATTTGTTGTTAAATGCATTCTACTTGCTGCAAATTTTATTTTCATTCATATATTTTACATATTTTTATCATGCCCACAAAGTGTTTGATAAAATGCCTCACTTAATATTAGTTTTATTTTGTTTAAATTTTGAAGATTGTAAGCTGGTATGATGCCAGATCAAAGAGTATCATCTCAAAAATCACTTCAGGTATAATTTTCTGGTCTAAGAGGTTTTGTTGTGGTTAGCTTAATCTGATTTGCTATGTTCTATAGTATATTTGTTCAACTTGATGTTCAGTTTGGAGAAAAATTGGCACACTCGTATAATGGGTGATGACTGTTGAGCAATTTAGTGTTGTTTGAGTATCATTTTCATGAATGAATGTAGAAGTTTGTATACTAGTGGTCAAATATATTTTGCTTGAAATCAAATTTTGGGGTCTTTGACAAAGACATTCTGTTTGTAATGGTTCTAGGTATTATATCATGACAAACGAGGGAAATTATTCTTTCTCACTTGTTGACACAAACCTTCTACTAGCACATGGAAATTGATCTAAGCTGCATCTTCACTCTTTTTTTTTTTTTTTTTTTCTTTTTGTATTATATGCAATTAGGTGATAGGGCTTGTCTTTCTAGACCCACTTAATTATGAAGTCACTGAGGCTAATATCTAGTTGTGGTTTTGGTTTAATAAGATTTTTGCAAATTCAATGTGCTTCTACAATACTCTGTATTATCTCAACTCTGGTAGATGATGGGTATCTTTAGTAGGAGATGAGGTTTTCTGCCAATAATATAGCAGCCAATTGCCTAGCACACTTATTTGTCCTTGCTCAATGTTTGCCTCTGACAACCTGTATGCATAATATGTATAATAGGGTTACTTTAAAATCCCACCTTTTTAACTCTTTTAAATTCACTAGCAGGTAGTCTTTTAAGCTGCTTACTATATTACAAATGATAGATTTGGCCATCAGTGGTAGTAATTCTAAAAGATAGAGATTGTCAATAAGTTGTATGCAAATGCTATATAATTTGTTGTCTATTTTATGGCTTATTATATAATTTGTTGTATATGTTATTGTAGATGACCCATGAAATGAAAGGCATGATTCTTGGTTCTGTGGGAGCCATAATTGCCTCCGTTCTTGCTCTTGTTGAAGAGTATAGGTTTAAGAATAAAAGGCCTAGAATAATTAGGCAACCTTATGTGAATAGAGATAGTTCGAGGGAGGCCAATATCAATAGTATTTTATATTGTGGTGACACTCATTGTCTGAGACAAATTCATATGAGGCCTGCTGCATTTTATAGCTTATGTAATATTCTAGTCGAAAGAGGACTTTTGCGGGAAAGTGTTCAAATGAGTTTTAAGGAGCAAGTAATTATATTTTTACACTTATTGGGACATAATGTAAGGTTTCGTGTAATTGGGGGAAGATTTTTTCGGTCAACATGGACCGTACACTACTATTTTCATATTGTGCTTCAAGCTATCCTTCGATTGTATCCAGAGGTTGTGAAACCACAAACAACTTCAATTCAGCCAGAAATTCAAAACAACCCTAGGTTCTTTCCATGGTTTGAGGATTTCATAGGGGCCATAGATGGAACACATGTGTGTGCCACTGCTCCCATTGAGATACAAGATAGATTTCGGGGTAGAAAGGGCGGAAAAACACAAAACGTGATAGCTTATGTTGATTTTGATGCCAAGTTCACTTATGTTCTAGCTAGCTGGGAGGGTTCTGCACATGATTCAAAGGTCCTTAATGATGCGCTAAATAGGGGGTTCAAAATTCCATAAGGTATTTGTCTCTTTTTTGGTAGTTGCAAACTGAAGATAAATTGCAAAGATGTTTATATTCTCCTTAATTACATGAACTTTTATTTTGGTGATTGTATCTGAAATGATGAGATTTACTTGATAATTCATGTGGTTTGCATATGAGAAGCATGTGTATCTACCATTGCAGGTGAACAATGAAGAAAAAAAAAAGGGAATTTTCGTTGGTCAAAACAAATGTCCAAGTTCTTGCATAAGAAGTGAGAAAGGGAAATAAGCCAAATAACACTTTCAGAACAAGCTGCTGCAAAAAAAAAATTACAGAAAAATTTAGAACTTCCTACACGGTTGACCATGTTGAGAACCACATGAGGACAATGAAAGCTAATTGGGGAATCATATCAAAAGTTTGTGGTAACTTTGGATGGAATGACACTGAAGATGGTAACAGCATCTCCTAATGCTTACAATAATTATATTCAAGTATCATTCTAGCTTATCTTTATGTGTTTTGATCTCTAGTACTCTCCTTAATCTTAAATATTAGTTTAACTAGGATTAGAATTACAAAAAGCTCACTGGTAGTAAATTGGTAGATTAATTAGCCTCTAAGTAATGAGTCTATAAAATAGGTCAGTAAATAGGGCATTATTTCCTCTTTTTATGTTTGCAGAAAATTGTTGAATCTATGTTAGCAGCTGTAATTGTTTTATTTGGTATAGCTTCTTTTTGGGTGCATTGATTTTTTATTTTTTTATATAATTTATATATAGAGTGGCTTGTTGTGAAATACACATTATGTGTTGTCGTAGCAAGTTTTATCCATAATGAGTATGCTGTTATATGGAAAATTGGATATGTTATGGATAAGAATAAATGAAATTAAAAGATTGATGTACTTCTGATCATCTGCATGGGAATATATGGTAAATGATTTTCTTGGTTTTGCTAACCTTTTGCATGAGGGTAGGGAATGTTAAACAACAGTCAAATGTTTGTATTGGTGTCTAACTTTGAAGTTTAACTATTTCATTGATATACTTTTGCATGAGGGCAGTGAATGCTATGCTACATATAGCAGTGATGTTCTAACTCAAAGTATGCTTGAAGTATTTCTCTGATATTTTTCTCCTTTTGTATACAGAAAAATCCTTCTCATGAGAAATATCTCAACCGAAAAATATGTATGAAGAAATAGCAATCATGGCTGGTAAAGACATGGCTCGTGGAGACTTTTCTAAGAGTTTTACTGATATTGAACTTAGCAATGAGAGTGGACAAGGGCAGCCTACAAGTATGGCAGAAAATGGGCCATCGAAATCAGATAGTGCCACTTCTTCAGAGCCAAGACAATATCGTAAGAGGACTTGAGGTGAAGATGACACTTGTGACTTGCAACAAATATCTAATCAACTAGGAGAAGTGGTTAGTGCTCTGAAGAAATTCTCAAACAACCAACTTGATGTGGAGAAACTTTATAAAGAGATAATGAAGACGGATGATTTTGAAGAAGCAGTTCGTGATGCCGTATTGGACCACTTGGTTGAGCGGGAGATGCTTGCCAAAGAGCAAACCTCTTCGAAGAGTTTGGATCCAGAACTTTAAAAATTCCCTTAATCGTAAGAATTAGAATGAGTATTTTTTTTATTGTTTGTCTACAACTACTTACTACAAATGTCTACTACTATGAGTACGCAGAAAGTAAAGTATTCTGTAATGTCTTGGTATTTGAGTTGTTGCTGCTACTTTGTACTAGTATACAACATTTTATCTTACTTATATGATTTAATTATACTAGTTTTTTACCCTTTTATTTCTAAATTGCATTTAATATTTACAAAAACAAATTCAAAGTTAGCTAAGAAAAAGTTCAAGGATTATTATTAGTAGCAGTATGGTATGAGAAAGAACCGATAATATCTTCCTTAAAAATATAGGATAGACAAAGAATTAAAAAAAAAAAAAAAAAAGACGTTGATTTTCTAGTGAGCCAAACAACGGAAAATGCTAAAAAAGGAAAATCAGTTTGCATGTAACCAAATAAGGTAAAATGTGTAGGAAATTACATTTTCTAATGAAAAAGGTTTTACACCCAACCAAACAAGGCCTAAATGCATTTAACAATGTAAATTATAACCAAAATTTTGACCCTTACTCCAACACTTATAATTCGGGTTGGAACACCGCCCCCACCTTGGTTGGAAAAAGGATCAATCAATATTACGGGAATTGGCGGAAGCAAGGGGTTTCCAAGGAAACACCCGGAATCAAGCAACTTTCCATGACTTTGAAGCTCAAATTGGGCAAGGTAATTATGGAAGTCAAGCCAA